GACACACAGCCTGGAAGACAAGGCGCCTCCCGCTGGCCCTAAGGAGGACCGCAGGTCAGGGGCGGGGCGCCCAGCGTGGGGCTCAAACCCGACCCTAGGATCAGGAGTCTCACCCTTATGTCGTTGCGCCCACCAGGGAGGCGGGTTGGGGCCACTCAAGTCCCGTAGCTATTGCTGTAGGACCACAGACAGTCACTCTCACGCTCTCAGAGGCTGGTGCACTTTCTCCTTTCCCCAGAGTGTCCATTACACAGAAACCCAAGGCCGGGTCAAAGACCAGGACCAGCCAGGAGGGGGATCAGCCAGAACCAGGGGAGGCCAGGCTCTCCCGGCAACCAGGTTCCCCTGTCCGCCTCCTGACTTAAAGAGGAACCTCCCACAATTGAAATGGCCACCTATGGCCCTAACTGGCGACAATCCAGAGACTAGCCTTACCAGGAAATAACCAGAGAATAATTTGAAATTAATTTAAAATTATTTCTTACCTCCGGATGTGTCCTGAGGGGCTCCAAACTAATATATAGCCATGGGGCGTCTGCTCTCTAGTCGCAAGGGAAAAATCCTCGTTGCGGGGCCCTGGCGCATCATCAGGGGGTACCCCACCCCCAGACAAGAAGTTCCCCAGCGGGCCAGCTCGCAGAGGCCCGGTGGCTTGGAGAAATTTTAGAATTAGATCTCGCTGGGGCCTCCAAATGTTATACCCAAGTTACACGAGACTAATTCACACAGAGACCGAATTGTTTGGAGTTTTTCATTAGCCAGCGGCTATGAGTGGGCTCCTGCCCTGAACAGACTCGCAGCCCCGAGCAGTCTTTGCAGGGAGAATATAACGGCAAAACCCACATTCTCGGTTGGGGGAGCAGGCACGGCAGCGACCCGACAGGCAGAAGCTGAGACCCGCGTTAGTCGACCTCCTTCGGTCAGCTGGCCTCTGGAGTTCTGCGGGCTGTGGGGAAGAGGCCGTTGTTTCTACATAATAAATGTTGTTGCTCTTGCTTATCCTAAAGTAGCGGCGGTCAAGGCCGAAATGGGAGTGCTATACCGCAGCCTGAGGGATAGGGTTATACATGGAAATGAGGTAAACTGAGGCTGGGAACGGAACGCAGCTACGTGCAGTCCTGGAGGTCCGCAGGCATCAGCTCTTGTTCTTGGTCGTCTGGCGATGTCTCCATAAGATGATATCTTGACTCCTGGTTGGGCCGGCCTCACTGACCACGCCTGTTCACGGATACATTGTCCACCGCTGCGTCACCTCCTTAATTGCTTTGTCCCGGATCAAGGGGAGTGTATGGGCACAAAGGCCTAGGAAAAAGAAACTTAAACCCCTGTGCACACGAGTATATGTGTTCTATAATTTATAAGTGATATTATATTTCAGGTGCTCAATCTTTGGAAGTTATAAGTGCCTCTATCACCATGTTTCATGGGAGTCCTCCAGCCCAGTCAGCCTTCAGACGATGCAGCCCTGGCTAACCAGTTGACTGCAACCTTGAGAGATGCCCTGTGCCAGAAACACTCAGGTAAACCTCTTCTGGAGATAACATTTGTTGTTGTGGGCTAAGTTTTGGGTAATTTGTGATGCTGCACTACATAACTAATACAGTGTCCAGAGAATGAATGATTGCACTTTAACTTTCACTTCCTTTAAATTAATTACAAGATATTAAACATGTCATTTGGTTTTAAGATTTAAGAATTTCCAGCCCAGCCAGGCGTGGCTCAGCGGTTGAGCATTGACCTAGGATCCAGGCGATCAGGGTTCGATTCCTGGCCAGGGCACATGCCCGGGTTGCGGGCTCGATCCCCAGTCAGGGGCGTGCAAGAGGCAGCCGATCAATGACTCTCTCATCATTGATGTTTCTCTCTCTCTCTCCCTCTCCTTTCCTCTCTCTGAAATCAATAAAGATATATTTTTTAAAAAAAATTTCCAGAGTTAACAAGCAGGATGTATTTTATTATCATTCACAACAATCTATTTGTTTTAACTTTAATTTTAAACCATGACCCAAATAAACACTAAAGGAAGAACAGGTGATGCTAGGCTGACTCTGTGATGATCCCCAGTAACCACCTGGGTACTCACCTCCCCCAGTTATCCATGAAACACAATAGGTGCTGCTGGGAAGGGGTTTTGTAGATGTAACTATGGTCTCAAATCAGCTGATCTTAAGACTATCCTGGGTGGGGCTGTCCTAATCAGGTGAGTGCTGACTGGTGTTCCTCCTGAGCAAAGGGATTCCAAGTGAGAGAGTTCAGTGTGAGGGAGTTTCTCCCCTGGGCGCTTGAAAATGGAGGGCCACATGGTAAAGACTGCTGGTGGGCACTAGGTCTTGGGAACAGCCCTCCCATGCCCACCCCCCATCTCTTCCTTGCTGACACTTGTCAAGGAAACAGGGATCTCATACCTACAACCGGGAAAAACTGAATCTGCTAACAATCTCTGTAAGCTTAGAGAAGGAGCCTGAGCTCAGAATGAGGGCACAGCTCTGTGACACCTTGACAGAGAACCCACCCACACCATGCTGGATTTCTCACTAAGGACCTGTGAGCAAAGAAATGGGGGCTGTTTCCAGCCACTAAGTTGTGGTAATTTTTATACAGTAATAGAAAACTAATACACAGGCTCAACTGTGCAATAAACACACAACATTTTCCCCCACTGGAATAAATTTATGAACTGACAGGTAATAAAATATTCCCTAACATTTATTTTATTTTATGGCTTTTGTGCAGTGTAATAAAATTTTACTACAATTATCTTTCATTCATTCATTCATTCATTGATTCAACAATAATTAATTTAATCCCTAGAATGTACCAGGAAACAGCTTCACGTGGATATACAATTTTGACCTAAGCGGCCCAAAACCCCTGTGCTCATGTGCCTTACCTTCCACAGGCTCTATGTGAGTGACATGGGAGACATTAGAGCTTTGTAAGTGAAGAAATGACACAACCTGACTCACCTTAGCAGGACTGCTGGCCCCTGTGTGGAGAATAGTCCCTGGGTGGCAGGTGAGGTGGTGGCGCTAGTGCCACAATCAGGAGAAGGTGATGGAGACAAAGGGGAGAAGAGGCCTGAGGGGTGAGAGAGCCTGAGAAGGGCTGGAGAAGCAGAAAGTGAGGAAAAGCAGAAGAGGTAGAGATTATAAAACAGTGGATCTATAGTAAATGTGTCTACAGGGCCTAGCAGGGTGTTCCTTGCATTTGGTGCTGTGGACCCCCAGAAAAAGACATCTACTAAGGAGGACTCCTGGTGGTGACTGGGCTCAAATTAACAACAAACAGCCCACCTGCCGTTCCTGCAGCTGGCGGAGGCTGCTCTGAGCTACCCGCCTCCCACTGCGCTGTGGGCCTGCTCCGTGCCTTCCTCCCCCTCCCTCCCCACCCCCGGGGGTGGAGACGGCTTTTCGCAGGGCTGGGTACAGGGCGGGCGGAGCTCAGTGTTGTTTGTGTTCTTTCTGTGGGTGCC